CCAAGGACTTGGGACCCTGTACCCATGTGGGAGACCTGGAATAAGCTCCTGGCCCCTGGCTTCAGATCAGCTTAGCTCCGGCTATTGCAGCCATTTGCGGAGTGAACCAGTGAGTGGAAAATCTTTCTGTCTTTCCTTCTCTCTGTAAATCCACCTTTCCAATAAAAATAAATAGATCTTAAAACAAACAAACAAACAAACAGAAAACGGAGATCCTAGGTGCATCCCAACCATTTCCCCATGTAACCTTTTGCCAAACTCTGCTACCTCTGCCCAGATGTTGCCATCCATGCGGTCAGTTAATATTGTGGCACTCAGGATATGGAACCTCTTCACTGAATAAGTGTTTCTAATAGAAACAGGTTATAAGTCCAAAATCCTCGAAATCTGGAACTTCCTGGGTGCTGATAGGATGCTACCAGTGGGAATTGAACAGCTGACCCCGGTTTCAGATGACACTGTGTACAGCAGCCCTCAGGCTGTGTGTAACGTACATTGAGAACAGATGACCTTTGAGTGTATACTTGGGTCCTGTCCTAAACTATCATATAATCTATGTGTAGATATTCTGAAATTGGGGAAAAAATAGGAGAGGCAGAGCACATCTGATCTCAAATATTTCAGAGAAGGGAACTCAACTTGCCTTCATGTTAGTTAACACATATTGAGCCCTTACTGTATGCTATCCACAGTATCTGATGTGCTCACTTGTGTTAACTTACTGAGAATTAAGTGAGTTATTGTATCCACTGTGAGCTGGGCACTGTAATCATTTCCATTTGACACAGGAGAACTGAGACACAGAGACAAGGCACTTGTTCAGGACCACTCAGGTGGCAGAGTCAAGTCAGGGATTCCATCCAGATCTGATCATTAGCCTGGCACTTCCTCTTTCTGCTCATGCTTGCATCTTTCCAATATAATAGGGTAGAATGGGAGGACTCTTCCTTAACAAATCTTGAGCTCAGCCTGGGGACTTCATCTACTTAGGGCCATATATTCCGGGGATGGCAAATCTCTCTGATATTCAGGAAACACTTGGAAGTGCTACAGTTTTGACTTGCACCTGTTAAGGGATTTAAAGTGTGTTGAACATCAGTTGACCACTGTTGTAATACAAAAGATAGTATTTAGTCCAGTGCTTGGAGATTCCCTTAGGAGCATACACATAGGAACATTATGAAAGCCTCTTTGCATTCAGAAAGTATCAATAGGATCATGCAGTCTCACAATCCCAGACAATAATTGCAAGGTAGTTAGTATGCTTAATGTGCTTCCTGCAGTCTGCTTTTAAGATAGTTTGCTAGTAAAAGGGCACAAGCAATGAAGTAATTCTCATCTCAAGTTCAAGTCCCTCTCCCTCCCTCCCCAAGTGGGGTTTTAAAGACAATTTTCCTAATTTAAAAGGTAATTGCCTGCTGTATTAGTCAGTACTGATTGCTTTCTGCTACAAGTTTTGGAGAAGCCTGTGGCTAGTGCCTTAAGCATCAATAGAAGTGCATTTCTGTATCTAACAGGAAGTCCGGAGACAGGCAGTTACTGGTATTGATTGTTGAGGCTTCTCAGCCATAGAGTCAAGGGCTCGAACTTACTGTTCTTCGGTGACCTGAGAAAGCCGCCTCATGGTTGCAAAGTGATTGCTGCGCTCCAAACTTTACCTTCCATATTCAGGCAAGAAAAAGACATCCTTTTTAGGCAGAGCATGGGAGTTCCAAGGTCTGTCCACTGTCCCTTGCTGTGTGGGCCCTAACTGTTCCCAGTTGAGACTGGCCCATCTCAGTGAGGACAGATGGGTAGGAGGCAGGGAGGGGAGTGGCCGGAAGATAGTACACAGCCTATAGTGAAAGCATCTTTAGCCGTGGAAGGAAGGTGTCCAAGAGCACTTAGGTCCAGAAAGGACTGGCTTGCCCCATTGAGTGGGACAGAGTGGAGTGAGTGATCAGGAGACAGACTTTAGCTCAGCCCAAGGAGAATTTCCTTGGGCAGTGGGCAGCCTTGAGAGAATTTCTGGGTACTGACAGGAACAAAGGAAGCTGACAAGGAACAAATGCTGTGAGCCTGTGCTAAAGATGAAGATCTCTGTGGTGGCTGGCACATCACACCTGTTGAAGGCTGGGTGCTGGGCTCTGGATTGAACCATAAGTAGAGTCCTTCCCGGGGAGGCACTCACAGGCATTACATTTCCTTGTGAAGGGGCGGGGAGTAGGTGTGTTTGTATTGCAATTGCTATAGCAATAGAGACCCCATAGAGGGCACATTCTGCCAAGAGGGTCCACAGGAGAGATAGTATTTGAGCCAGACCTTCAAGGGTGACCCTGGGGAATAGTGTGGATGAAAGGGTTGAGGCCCACCATCCGCTACCCCAGACTTGGGGTGTGAAGTACAGATCCATACTGTGGGATCCCTCACCCTAGAGGATCATCTGCAAATCCTGCCTGTGTCTGATGGGGGACCAGGAGGACAGACCTGGGCTCTTCCCTGTGAGAACCCACTGCCTTGAGGAGCTGATGGCTATAAAGATAAATTACACAGGACATGATGTGGGAAGTACCAGGGGTGAGGAGAGTGCCAAAGCAGCGGTAGGAGGGATGGCTCACCTAGCCTACCAAACCTTTCCTGATGCACCCAGCTGTCCCCACCGGTATGTCATTCCAGTGTTACACAAGCCAGATGTGGTGGGCAGTTTATGTCACCTCTTCCTCCTCTCCTGTAACTGGTGTTGAAAGGGAGGCCATGAGAGCCAACCTGTAGGAGGCCGCCTAACTGGTGAGGGTTGTAGCTCATCTGGGATTTGATCATTGGAATCCATCAGCTGGGGAAGCTGTAGGGCTTGTGCATAGGGGAGGACTCAGACAAGCACTTAGGAAGCAAGGAGAGTACACACATTTCCCACCAGGGATCTGTTTGTGCATAATTAAGCCCAATAGACCACTTTTAAAAAAATCAACCCTGATAATTGATATACTTATTGATTGGAGCCATTGACTGGTAGGCTATAAAGATCTGGAGGAGACAGTTTAGAGGAGAGCTTGTACTTGCTGTGCTCTGGAGGTCACATCTTGGAATGGCTCAGAGCTTGCCTGGGCACTGGCTCTTGGAGGGGACAAATGACTGTTTTTTTTTAATTTGTGCAATGGGAATCCAGGCACCTGTTTTATGTTTTGGGAGTTGGAGAAGGTAATACAGATGGGAAGTCCACTTTTATTTTTAAAGAGGATTTTTAAAAGTATTTTTGAAAGGCAAATGATATAAAGAGTGACAAAGGTGAAATGGAAAGAGAAGGTAGAGAGGCCTTCTATCTGCCGAGTTCATTCCCCAAATGGCTACAACAGCTAGGGCGGGGCAAGGCTAATGCCAGAAGCCTAGAGCTCCATCTGAATTGCCAGATGTGTGGCAGAGGCTTAGCTACTTGGTCCATCATCTGTTGCTTTTCTGGGCATATTAGCAGGAATGCTGGTTTGGAACTGGAGCAGTTAGCACTTGAACCTGTGCTCTGATACGAGATGCTAGTATTGCAGCCTTAACTTACTGATCTGTGCTTTTCCTTTGTTTGTTCAACATTTCTTGCTCTGAGTGACAGCTGCCTTGGATGTGGCTGCCTGGGTAGAGAGAGGAGAGCTGGTTTGACCAGGGTCCGAGAGGGAAGGCCACCCGAATGGGGAAGGGGCTCAACTCTGAGTGGGGAATGACGACATTCATCTTGGTGTTAAAGGCAGATTAACACAGATAGCAAAATCTATAGCAGCTCAAGTCACTTCTATAAACCAGCATAATGTAGACATAAAACCCACAGATCCTCTCATATATGTTATACCATTGTCTGCACGCTCCCGGGAGCACCCCTCCCCGCATTTCTGTCCCATCTATGCTACATTCCACCTTAGTTTACACTGGCTAGCTGGTCTTGTGGGCGCCCTGTTGCCAGGTGGCCAGTCTGAGCGTGTGGGCCAGAGCAAGGAACCCACCAAGGTTCCTACTATGGACCTGAAGATGGTGGTAGGGGGCTGTCTTTAAGGCAGGAATGGGTGGGGTAGGCCACCAGAAGGCTGTGTGGACACAGTGACTGTAGGGGTCTTTTGAGGAAACGATCATTCCTGGAGATGAAGGTGAGTGTGGGGGCGGTTGCAGCTGTTGCTGCCAGGATTCCTCCCAGCACTGGGTTTCCCAGGGTGGCTGGGGCTGCCTATATACCCGTCTCATGGGCACTTTCTGGGAAAGAGCAGACTGTCCTGGAATCTCAGTGAGGGATCCAGAAACTGATTTTTTTTAAGATTTTTTTTTAAAAAATTTAAAAGTTGCATTACAGAGAAAAAGGGAGAGATGGAGTGAGATCTTACATCCATTGCTTCACTTCCCAAACAACTGCAATAGCCAGGGCTGGGTCAGGCTAAAACTAGGAGCCAGTTCTGGGTTTCCCATGTTGGTGCAGCAGCCCAAGCACTTGGATCAACTTCCACTGCTTTTCCATGTGCTGAATTGGAAGTGGAGCAGCCAGGACTTGAACCGGTGTTTTTTATGAGTATTACAGGCAATAGCTTAATGTTTTATATCACAGCACCGGGCCCCCAGAAATTGACATTGGTAATGAGCGTCCACAAAATGCATGGGCCTGTTGATGGCAGGGACCCCTTTCCCTTTTCTTGGCAATTTACTCGACCCTTGCTAGACTCAGAGCATATGTAACCTAAATGATGACTTCTCCCCAGCACTTGGCAGAGGGCTTTTGTGTTTTGCTTTCAAGGGCTAAAGGGTGCTGATGATAGGTTTCAAGAGAATACTAAATCCAGAGTGGCAGCATCAAACCTGTGGCAGGTGACACAGGCTGGGAGCATCAGTGGAATCTTTTACGATTAATTGTCCAGGTACCTATTCAATTAGGTAGCTGCGGAAGGCCATTTGGCCATGACCCTGAAGGCCTTAGCCAGTACCCTCCCGCTGCTACCTTCACAACCCCCCATGGTGTTGAATAACTCCTGAGAGTTCTCATTGCTCCCCAACAGGTGTGCGCCTGGACCGGGTTCGCGGAGGCCGCCAGAAGTACAAGCGACGGTTGGACTCTGAGAACAGCTCGTACCTGAGCTTTCAGATCTCCCCAGCTGCTAAAAAGCCATGTGAGTCTCAGCAGTCCCTGCTGCTCTGGCCTCCCTGGAGGAAATGGCCACCTTCCCACCCAACATCTGCATAGCACTGCTGTCGGAACCTTCGGGCTTCATGCAGAAAACCTGAATTCCATATAGAGTAACACAAGATGCAGTTCCGTGCCAGGTCTTAAGAAACCACAGGTCCCAGGATCCAGCAGCACCCCCTCAGTACTTAGCCAGGTTCCTCTCAGTAGAATCCATGAGGCAACTTCCTTGAGGGAGAGGAAAGTTTGTTTCTCTACAGTCCACCCCATTGTAGCCAGAGGCAGTGGTCAAGGAAGAGCGGGCAGGGGATGGCAGCTACATTGGACCTGCCCCATCCTAGCCCCCATCCTGGCTCTTGTTTTCTCTCCCCAGGCATTGACCCTTCCCTCTTTGATTCTTGCAGCGACCAAGATTGTCTCGTGCCTCATGGTGGCTGAGCCAAACAACCTGCAGGCCATGCCTCCTTCTGGCATACCTGAGGCGGACATCAAGGCACTGGCCACGCTCTGTGATTTGGCTGACCGGGAGCTTGTGGTCATCATTGGCTGGGCCAAGAACATCCCAGGTAAGTCTTGTGAGATGGAGGTGAGGGAACCCAGCATTTCTCAGCCAGACTCCACATTCCTGCACCCCAGGTTGTAGTTCTGATGATGCATGGAACTGGCCCCTAGGGGCCAAGAAATCTTGGTGGGCTTGTTTTCCTTCAACCTATCTTCTCCCCTTGAGAGTTTGGAGGGGAGTGGCTATTGAGAAGATGCAAGTGTGTTAATGAACTTCTGGGGCTCTTCAGAACCTGTAATCTGGAAGAGGCTATGTCTAGACTACAGTTGGTACCACTCAAAGCATAAGTTTCTTGAACCCTTAGAGGACAAAGAATGGAGTGCCTTTGTAGATGTTACTGGAATTCTCCTGGGAAAGGAGCAGTGATATTCTGGGTCTGCAAGTGCTAGCCTGGGCAGGTCATTGGCTGACCACTCTGAAATGGGATTAGGAGCGGAGCTCTGAGCTAGTGCTCTGAGGATAAACCAGACCCTTTGCAACAAGCCTTCGGTATGGAGTCTGATGTCCTAACATCAGTTGTGGGCTCGCTGTTACCTCCTGCTTGGTCTCCAAGGGAGGCCTGTCTGTCCCATTGGATTCTAGGATCTTGTAGGGTATTTCTGGACTGGAAGTCTGAATCACCTGTCTCAGGCCATGTGGACTTTTCTTCACTTCATGTGGACCCCAACCCCACTTTTAGCTTCCCTTGGGCTGATGGCGAGAAATGGTGGGAGCTAATTTTGGCTGTTGCTGTCCCTAGCTATGAAACTTATCTCTTCCATCATGTGTACATTGTAGACTATTCTCCATGCAGCTTGCTGCTCAACTCTGTTAGTGTATCCAAAACTCCACTCTCATCATGGGAAAAATATCCCTTTCTCCTTCCTCATCTTTAAAATCATTTAGAAATAATGCAAATATTAAACCCAAAACCAATTGAGAAACAAGTTGCAATTTACCTACATAAGGATAAATGCAGTGCTATAATGACAAGATGCCTAAAAGATACAGCACTATAATGAATAGTTATAACATCACAACTAAAGTAACACTTAACAGATACAAATAGATATGACATTACAATGAATAGATGCAGTATTAACAATTAATGGGGACATAAAAGATACTGCACTATAATTAATAGATGCAGCATTGCAACCAATAGACACAGCATTACAATTAATAGATGTAGATACTGCATTCCAATTAATACTGTTACAATTAATAGAGACATCACAGAAATGGTGCTGTAATTAATAGACACAGCATTGTGGTGAATAGATATGAGTAGTTGCGGCATTGCAATTAGTAGGTAGTGCTACAGTTAATAGAGATACGGTGCTATAATCAATAGATACACCATTACTACCAATAGACATGGTGTTACGAATAAACACATGTGGATACAGTGCTGCAAGTAAAATGGCAATTACCAGGACATACACAAAATTGGAATATGAAAAGTTGAAGAAAAGAACAGAAAATTGTATCTTCACAATGCTTCTGCTCTGTAAAACTTTGATAGGCAACTAGGAGGCAGGGACCGAGATGCAGACACTCTGCATGCTGTGAGGGTGGTCTGGAACAGGACATACGTTCTTAAGAAGCTGGTGCACGAGGTGAGGAGGATGAGGCACCTTCCTTTTGGAGTTGTTCTTGTGCTGGCTTGGACCAGGAGCTTGCCTGTCTTTCCTTCCATTGCTGCCCCATGACCCTGGCAGTGACCCACCAGGGACTGCATATGTAGCTCTGTGACATTAAACAGTTTATAACTTCCTGTCTCTGCATCCTGTCTTGTTGTCTCAGCCTGGAAAGATGAGCACAAGTGCCTGCTAACATGGCAAAAGAACCCTGGACCTTCAGATGCCCAGATCCATGGGTGATGGAAATGAACTCAAAAGTCCAGTGTGTGAGTTCTTAGGTGCAGGGAGCCTGTCAGGGCCCGGGAGCCAGCAAATGTGCTGCTGGCTGCCCCCTCCCTGGCATGAAGCATGGGGGCCCCTAGGGGTTCTAATTTGGGGTGGGCTGGCACATCCTGGCTATAAGGAGCTCAGTGCCGCAAGGATTACTCACTCAGGAGTTTCTCAATCTGCCCAGCGCTGGCTCAGCACACAGGTGGGGTCAAGCCCCTGCTTATGACACCTCAGCCTGGATTGCTCTACTAACCCAGGGCCAAACTGGGGACAGCGGCCCATGGGCCCCTTCTGCCCCACACTACCCTCCTGGCCCAGGATGAGCAGGTCCTGCTGCCCAGTGACAGGCCAGGAGAATCACCTGGTATTCCCTCAGGGTCACTGCTTCCTCCTTGTACCACCCCACCTCGGGAAACACCTCCATGGAGTAGGAGCCCTATCTCCCCTGCACCTTTCCACCTGCCAGTTCTTCTCCTATCTATGCCCAGCCAAGAGGGCAGGATGGGGCAGAGTTTGTCTAAGGAGCAACCTAGCCTCCAGTCCCAGCTCTGCTCTCTCCATACTGCCTCGTGCCAACTGCTTAACTTCCTGGTCTTCAGTGTCCTCCTCCACACAGTGGCAATCATCACAAAGCCACCACCCCCACCCCTTGGCATTGCCACACACTTCAGCGGGCTCTTGAGGAGTGGCAGAATTTTGGTTGTGATGTCATCATCATCACTCACAGTATGAAAGCCTCTGTCATGTCTCCTTATCCAAAACAGAAGTCCTTTGGATGAAAAACATAAGATTAATGCAGGGACTCATTTGATTGTCTCAAATGCTGTTTCCCTGTTTTGTGAAGTCTCCATGCTGAGTTATTTGGGCCTGGACTTCTAGTGGTGGGTAAGGTAGGAGCTAATTAGTGATGTCTCTTGTCACTGCATGTGAGCCTTATACACACACACACACTCATTTATATATACAGATATACATGCACATGTAGGAGGAGTGCTGCAAGGAGCAGCCTGGGCTGTTATCAGACACAAGGGATCCTGGCTCGTGCCTCAGTGTCTTCCAGCATAGTGCACCAAGAGCACTTCATACTTGCCTTTGCAAGCACACAGTGAGTACTGACTGTTTAAGGCCTACTGCTAGGAGATGTGGTTGAGAGAGAATTCGCGTCACCCTTTTCCCTGCCCCTTGTCTAAGACCCCCAGAAGATGCTTGAAATCAGGAATAGTATTGAATCTCTATCTATGTCTTTTTTTCTGCGTGGTTTGCGGTGCTACCACTGCACATGGCAGCAGAGTCCATCTGTCTTTTCTATGTGTTGTGGCCTTAGGTCACCCTTTGTGGTCACTGCTTTTCTACTTTGGGATCATTATAAAGTTGAAGTAGGGCTACTTGAGCACAAACTCCATGGTACCATGGTCTGATCTTGGGAACCAGCACAGACAGCATGGCTAGGCTAGACAAGGTCTAACACCAAGAGGGAACAGTGATGGGGTGAGTGAATGACGAGTGATGGAAAGCATATCAGTGGTTTACTTCTGGACTTTCCACTTAATGTTTCTGAAGTTTGACCACAGGCAAAATGGAAAGCAAAGCCACAGATAAGGGAGGCTATTCCAGCCTGGAATTCCTCCCCACCGCCTTACTCCAGGATCCCATTTGGAAAAAAGAGCAAGTTTTATGGGGAAAATTCAGGGCTTGTGGTCTTTCCTTGCAGCCTGGGCTTGCCAGATGAAGGGTTGATTTCGAGTGGAATTTCCTGGGTGTTAAGTTGGCCAGAGGGCAAGGGCTGGCCTTTAGAATGTGATTCCTTCTCAAGGCAGTGGTGGGCAGCACCTGATGGACAGTGATCTTTGCTGGTCATTAGCCCCTTACCCATCCTTCCCAGGCAGCCAGAGTCTACCCCTGCCCAAGAGGGCTTTCATGGAGGCATCACTATTACTCTTGCTCAGCTCAGGCTGGCATTTCCTGGTATCCCCAAGGGGGTCTCCTCTCCAGGGGTCCCTTGGTGGCCTTACTTCCAGGTATCCAGTGGCTGGCTGGATGAAATATGAGCTGCCGAGTGACAGCAGCTGTGTGTGAAGTGGCCCTAGATCCTATAATTACAACTCCCTTTATTACTTGTGCTAATGGCCTTCCAGGTCGACAGAAACAATCATAAATTAACAGATTATGAACTCCACTTGCCACGAATTATGTTCCCTCTCTCTCTCTTTTTGAAATTCCAGCAGCTTGTGGTGCCAGACTGCTGGGGGTTGGGAACTCTGGGAAGAGCCTGCCTATGATTAGACCAGCAGGTGCAGATAAAGCCATTTGCCTGGGGCAGTAGAGTTCAGGGTGGGCCTGGGAGTCAGCATAGCCAGTCAGGGGGCCAGCCAATCAGGGGGGCAGTCAGTCACGGGGGCAGCCCTACACTCCCCCTGGGACCATCTAGTAAAGACAGCAGTCTCCACAGAGGCATTTCAACAAATTCATAGAAATATAGAATGAAAGAGTGTGCTTGCTTTGCGGGCAAAGCAATTTGAACCCATGCATAATTGTTTCCACAAACTTTTTGAGCTACCTTCCTTTATTCAACTCCATGCTTTGGAGTATTCATTTTGAATTTTTGAAAAGATTTTATGTTATTTAAAAGGTAGACACACACACACACATACATACACACATGAGAGAGAGGTGCTCCATCTACTGGTTCACTCTCCAAAGGGCCACAGTGACTGGGACTAGGGCTGGGTCAGGCAAAATCCAGGCACCTGGAACTTCATCCAGGTCTTCCACATAGGTGGCAGGGTCCTAAGCACCTCGGCCATCCCCCACTTCTTTCCCAGGCACCTTTAGCAGGGAGCAAGATGTTAAGTGGCACAGCTGGGACTCAAACCCAAGATTTAGTATGGAATGCTGGCTTTGCAGACTGTGGCTTAACGTGCTGTGCCATTATGTCAGCCTTGCACTTGGATTTTAAAAGGTATGTGCATGACTTTATGAAGGTGCTCAAAGAAGAGGAGAGAAATAAGGAGCTGAGCACACACTCAAGCCAGCCTGGAAGAGAGGTGTGAGAACAGGTATCCAGGAACAGGCTCTGATGAGGACACAGCCACCATGCAAGTCACCATGCCCCTTCTGGCCACCACCAAAGGGCAAACCTTTCCCTCACTGTCACAGCATAGGCAGTGGCACCCTGGGACAAAGCATCCCTGGACTGTGGTCGGAGTTGCATGCATTTCCTGCTATAGCCCTAACTTCGTGCTGACCAGCGACCCTGGGTGTGTCTTTGCTTCCTCACTGTAAGCTGCTCAAGTCAGGAAACTGGTCTGCTTTAAGTGTGCCATTCTGTCTCCAGTGTCTAGCATGGGCCTGGCACTCAGTGGATGCTCAGGAAGCATTTGTTGAGGGGCAGACAGTTGGCACAGCAGTTAAGGTGTCACTTGGGATGCCCCTGTAGCATGTCAGAATGCCTGGTTCAAGTCCCAGCCCTGCTCCTGATTCCAATTTCCTACTAACGTGCAGCCTGGGAACAGAGGGTAATTGCTCAAACACTAGAGTTCTAGGCTTCCGGCTTCTGCCTTCTCCAGTCCTGGAGTGAACCAGTCCTGGAATGAAAGTTCTGTGTGTGTGTGTATGTGTGCACGCCTGTGTCTGCCTATTTCTGTCTCTCTACCTTGAGAATACAATGACTAAATAAATACATGAATAAATGCTGAATGACTACGGGCAGGTGCATGCTAGTAACATTTTCCCAAGGATCCTGCCAATGCAGTTAGCCTCACGGGGGTCCTTTCTCCAGCATTTCAGCAGCGTAGCACTACCTAACCCTCCCTTTATGCTGCCTTCCAATCTAGGGGTCTATTAATTTTGCCCCTACCCTCCTCCTCCAGCTGCCCTCCCAGACTGTCTGCTTTCAGCAGTCCAATACATGTGGACACATGCATGTACGCACACACAATGCCCTCCTGTGCTGGCTGATTGGTATCTGTTAATTAATGTCGCCCAAGGCCTCTCTCCCACACCAAGTCCTGATAAAAGAAATTGGCTGTCCACTTCTATCTGTCTTTTATGACTGCCTAGCTCTCCTGGCCCCATATATCCTCTCCCAGGCCTGGTATATGGACCACAGTGCACACACAGCTAACCTGACTGCATCCCAGCCTCTCCCTTGAGAAAGCACATCCATCAAAGCTCAGGGCAGGGCAGGATAATTGTTCCTGCTCTGTTGGTGATCACCCGCCAATCCCAGCAGTCAGGGACTCATCCACAGCCCAGTGTACAGATCAGGGCCTGCCTGGCACTGTAATGGCCAAATTTGGAGAAAGGGTTTGGGGTTAGGACCCTCCTACCCGGTCTGCAGGGTCAGGAATACACTTGTGCTGATTGGACTGGGGGATGGGATCGAGGATGCCAGATGAGAGTGCCATCCATGAGAGTCCAATGTCAAGACCAGCCAAGGTCCCCTGGCAAGCCCAAAGAGAAGGGATACTGTCCATCACGTGCCAGTAGAGACACCAACAATGGTAAAAGCCACCGCCACCAGGGAGCTCCATGTGCTGGGAGCAGGGCCCTCAGCCTCATGTACACCCATGCATCCCTCACCCTCCTTGCACATCATATCAAAAAGCTCAACCCCTTTCTGGCCAGCTACTCATGGTGTGTGGTGCCAGTCAGTGGCTTTCTGGTGGCCATTCCTGGATGTTAGTGTCTTGGGTGGCTGTTGTGTTTGAAAATCAGCAAACTGGTTTGTTTCCTCTGGTGATTCAAGATGCTAAACGCATGCATAGTACAGTTGCATCTGATTACTCAGTTCACAGAGGGAAGGCTTTCCCCTCTTGTTTGTTGAGAACAACTTACTCATTGTGTTGTCTCATTTAGACCTTACCTCACTGCCCAGAGGAAGAAGTCGAGGTCTGCAGTGAAGGCATGGCTTGCATGTGGCCCAGCCCAGGCACTCTTTTGAGCACACTGCACCAGGAAGAAGTGGGCTTCACTGTGGGCCTGCAAGGAGGGGAACTCCATGGTCCCAGGCTCCCATTATCAGGCCCGCTGGGTCTGCAGCCTGGTGGCCTGGGCAGAGGGGCCCTGACCTCTACCTTATGAGAACGTCGTTCCCTGGCTTGAGACCCTCAACTTCTCAGCACTCCCAGGCTGTGGCCACAGGGACCTTCTGCCCCTTTCCTAGTGGGGTTCCCCTGGTACAGAGAGAGGGACCCAGAAACGCCCCAGAGTGGAAGTACCCCTCTCCTGTCACCTCCTGATCCAGTTAGGAACCCAGTAACTCCTTCAATAACAAGTGCATTTTGTTCATTAGGAAGTCTCCCCAGCCTTTTGCAATATAGGTGAGCAGGATCAGTAATAACTGCCCATATCGACTGAGCTCTTGTTATTAAGCCTTCTTCACAAATTGCAAGTCTGACTCAATGCACCAGGCGTCTGGCAGTGGACAACAGGCCCACCCCAGCCACAGCAGGATCCAGAGATGGCAGGGGCATGGCCACTCCCGGCCACACCCCTCCAGGAGCCCCTGGCTCAGCCTTCTGACCAGGCGCTTCCTTCCCCTGTCCTCATTGCATCTTGTCTACAGGTTTCTCAGACCTCTCGCTGGGGGACCAGATGAGCCTGCTGCAGAGCGCCTGGATGGAGATCCTCATCCTGGGCGTTGTGTACCGCTCGCTGCCCTATGACGACAAGCTGGTGTACGCAGAGGACTACATCATGGACGAGGCCCACTCTCGCCTCACAGGGCTGCTGGAGCTCTACCACGCCATCCTGCAGCTAGTACGCAAGTACAAGAAGCTCAAGGTGGAAAAGGAGGAGTTTGTGACACTCAAGGCCCTGGCCCTCGCCAACTCAGGTAGGGAGAGGCAGGTGTGTGCCTGCATGGGGGGCAGTTTGGGGCATTTCCAGGTCTCTGAGCAGGACCAGCTGCAGCAAGCAGGAATGACATGAAGGCACTGAAGCTTTTTGTTTACCCTAAGGTTGTTACAGGGAGTAGGCTGGCCTTGGAAGGGGATTGGTGGTGAAGACTGGCAGAGACTGAATGTTCCCCAAGCCTTTGACCTTGGAATTGACACACTGGTGGGTTGAAGGACATAAGGCTGGGGTCAATTAAAGGTCAAGTTCAGGGAAAGCTGCTTCACTCTATGCCTTATCAGAAAAATGGAGACATGAGGGGTGAGCCTTGTGGCACAGTGGGCTAAGTCACCTCTTGGGACCTGGGATTGAGTCCTGGCTGCTCTGCTTCCCATGCAGCTACCTGCTCGTGTGCCTGTGAAGGCAGCACAAGTGCTCGGGCCCCTGCTGTGCACATTGGAGACCAGGATGGAAACCCTGGCTCCTACATTTGACCTGGCCCAACTGTAGCTATCACAAGCAGTTAGGGAGTAAATTAGTGAATGGAAACTCTCTCTGCTCCCATCCCACTCTTTAAAGTGGACAATGAACAGGACAATGAACAACCCCTCCTCTCCAAAACTACTGAAAGGATTTTTATATAGAGATCATATTATGCTGGCATGTGATAAGTGTTCTGGTCCTTACATTAACTATACATTCATTCAATTCTTATAACCCTCAAAGCAAAGTTAAACCCACTTTCCAGATGGGGAAACTGAGGCTTAGGAAAGGTGAAGTAATGTGTCCTGCATTAACCAGTTAAAAAGTGTCAGTTCATATCAGATCATCCGATTTCTAAGATCAACCCAAGCTGACACTCACTGTTTGAATGTTTCAGTCCAGTTCTCCCTCTGTGGGGGCAGACCGTGTACCTGAGCACCAGGGAGTAAAACAGTCCCTACTGATTGGCTCAGAAGGAAGATCCTTTGGCAGCCACAACTTCTAAGCTGTGTTTTCTGGGGAGAGGTTCTGGGCACAGAGAGACTGGGTGGGTGGTAAACTTAAATGTCATCTGCTTCTACATCCAGTCTCCAGGCTGTGCTGGGTTCTGGGTGGATGGAGGAGCTGGAGGGACCCAGGTCACTCACTTAAGACAGCTGCCATCAGGAATGCACACACTGTGTGTTGCCCATGTCATTGCCAGGGGCCGGGTCTGCTGGGCCAGGGTTCAGGTTCTAGCTCTGAGCTTTGCTATCAATGACACTTTGGGCAGCTTTCTGTCTTGATGTGTTCTGTAGAGATTGTCTTTTTTTTTTTTTTTTTTTTTTTTTTAAGATTGACTTATTTATTTGAAAGGGAGCATGACAGAGAGAGAATCTTTCATCTGCTTGTTCATTCCTTTGCAATAGTTGGGACTGAGCCAGCAGAAGCCGGGAGCCAGGAACTCTATTAGGGTCTCCCTCTGTGGGAGCAGACCGTATACCTCTTGTAAGCCCTTGTGTGAGTGCTGAAGGTGCCTGGTCTACAAGAAGTGTTTGATAAGAAGTCATGACTATTTGTAGCATTAACATGAATGGGACACAGTGATGCCAGTGTGTGTCCCCAGGGGAGATACAGGCTCAGGATTTCCTGGCCTACTCCATGCCATCCTGCCCAGGAAAACTTTCAGTCCTTCACAAGCTGGGCATGAGACCTCTGCCCCATGCGACTTTGTGGACTTTGCCCAGGACGCTGCTGAGGCCCCACATAGGCCTTCTTTTATCCCGCCCACAGCTCATGGCTGCCCCCTGCAGAAGCCTTGCTTCTTGTGCTCGGCACCTGCAGCCAATGATGGACTTGCACAGGGTCAAAGTGACCTGGAGGGTCCCTGTCCCTGCCTTGCTTGCTCTGCCCCTGTGTCTGCCTGCCTACTTCCTTTCTTGAGAACACAAAGCCTGTGTAGGTTTCTGAATACAGACCTGCCTCAGACTCTGTCTCTATAGAACCTGTCCTAATAGAGGGAAGTTTAAAAATATTTTTAAATTTGTTTATTTTTAATACAAATTATTTCTGTGAATGATAGATGAATGCGAAATAATTAACAGTACATACACATTCACACCATAAGCCCATTTTTAAAATTTTTGATGGTTATATATTTTTAAAGATTTATTTATTTTATTGCAAAGTCAGATATATATATAGAGAGAGAGAGAGAGAAGAGGAACAGAAAGGAAGATCTTCCATCTGATGATTCACTCCCCAGATGACTGCAATGGCTGGAGCTGTGCCAACCAGAAGCCAAGAGCTTTTCCAGGTCTCCCACGTGGGTACAAGGTCCCAAGGCTTTGGGCCATCCTTGACTGCTTCCCCAGGCCACAAGCAGGGAGCTGGATGGGAAGTGGAGCTGCTAGGAATGACTACAACCAGACTATAACCAGAGATGAGCTGATCTGAAGCCTGGAGCCAGAAACTTCTTCCAGATCTCCCACGCAGGTGCAGGGAGCCATCCTGCATTTGGGCCAGCCTCTAATATTTCCCTAGGTATATTAGCAAGGAGCTAGATCAAAGGTGGAGCAGCAAGGACTCAAACTGGCACCATTATGGGATGCTTGTGCTGCAGGTGGAGGCTTAGCCTTCTATGCTGTGGCTCCGGCTCCTGTATTCCACTTTTCCATGAGCTTCCTGAAGTATCCTCACATGTACTCTGCCTGAAGACCCACAGTGTCTCATGACATGAACCCACCAGGGTCTTGTGCTGCCATCAGGCTTCACCCAAGTACATCCTTTGTCACATGGGCCTAGGTTCCAGGAACCTGGATTTCCTCCCCAGTGGCATGTGGAAGGCTCAGCAACTGAGGCACCTTGGCATGCCCACATACCATATCGGAATGCCTGGGTTCAGGTCCCAGCCCTGCAGCCGAGTCCAGCATTCCTGCAATGCCCACCCTGGGAGGTAGCAAGTGATGACTGAAGTACCTGGGCCCCTGCCACCCACATGGGAGATTTGGATTGAATCCCTGGTTGCTGACTTTGAGCTGGCTCAGCCCTGCCTTTTGTGGGCACTGGGAAATGAACCACTGGACAGGAGAGCCCCCCGTCTATCTCTTTGTGTCTCTTTGCTTGACAGTTTGTTAAAAGGGCTGTCCTCCAGCTGGAGCATAGGTGCAAGAAGCTCTGGAGTGGAGGGTGTGCTTGTGATGTCCAGGACCCTGCAGTATGTTCCACCATGCACTGAAGGCTTGGTGTTCAGGGCCCACGTCTGCTAGCTAGGGGGTCCATTCTGGCTACGTGGTCAGTTCCTCTTTTACATTTTTATTTTATTTTTAAAAAAGATTTCTTTTCACTGGAAAGTCAGATATACAGCTAGGAGCTTCTTCCAGATTTCCTACATGGGTGCAGGACCCCAAGGACTCAGACCAGTTTCTGCTGCTCTCCCAGGAGCATTAGCAGGGAGCTGGCTTGGAGGTGGAACAGCCGAGACTAGAACTGGCACTCCAATATGGGATACCAGCATTGAGGCAGCAGCTTAACTCTGTGTACCACAACACCAGCCCTAGGAAAAGCCAGTTATTTTCAGCTGGGGAGGTAGAGTCAAAGCTGGGGAAACTCATAGGAATGAGAGGAGGAAATATTGAGCCTATTTGGGGTCAGACCATAAGCTCTGGAGTTGTAAAGGAATTGGGTGGTAATGGGGTCAGTTTAGGGGGCAAAAAGGATGCAGGAAGAGTGACCTGTCCCCAGGCTTAGGGTAGGAAAGTGACCAGGCAGTGGGAGTGAGAAGGTATTGGCTGGGGCTGGAGCAGGGTCAAGGCGGGACACCATCGAGGTGGTCCTGGAGGCTCCTGCTGTGGTTGCATGGAGAGGGTGGATCAGCTCAGAGCCTGGGAGGAGGGGGGCAGCACCAGGCAAGAGTGGGGTAGCATGTCAGAAGAATGCTGATCCCCACCCCTGGGCCCCTGGGCCCTTGGGAGCCTGCTGGCCATCGGTCACCCCATGTCCCAGCCATCTCCAAGGTTCCCTGACAGCACAAAGAATTCATAGCCATTGATTTTGTAATTAACAGTTTATCAATGCCATCGATACAGACTTGCTGATGGATTGCAAAGAAATTAATCTTGCAATGTTATTTTATTTCATTTTTGGTCGAAGGCAGCTGCCAATTTGGCCTCCCAGGGGAGGGTAGGATGAGGGACAGGAAGGAGGAGCCATGAGTCTCGTCCTGGGACTAGCTGCATTTTGAGAGGGCGCTCCATTAGTGGCTGAGGGTGCATCATCTCCCAGCTAGCACAGCAGGAGACCTCCTTGTTCTGGTCACAGAAAACCAAAGAGAGTATTCAAGTTTGCCTCCACACTACTTCCTGTCCAAGTCACCACAGCAGTGCCAATTGTACTAGTGTATGTTAGGTGCTTACCAAGGGCCCAGAAGTGTGCATTTTCAGTGTTTGCTTCGTTTTACAGATGAGGAAATAAACAGAGAAGCTGAGAAACTTGGCCCAAGTTACACAGCATCTAAGGCTCTAACATTTACTTCATTCTACTGTTTCCTACCCAAAAGAGAGAGATAGGGCTGGGAACACACAGGCTTCCCTTGCCCCCGGGGGTGGCCAGTTTGTGCAGTGTGGTTTCTGATCAACCCAGCATGCAAAGGAATGGCCCTACTCCTCTGAGGAATTCAGGACCCTGGTGTGTGCTTCCTGGTCACCCTGCCCCAAGCTTGCAGTCCACCCATCCCCACTTTGGTGAGCGTAGGGTTCTCCACTTCAGTGTAGTGGCCCGTGAGGGTTGTGGGGAGAGTTGTCTGCCCCTCCACAGACGTACGTAGGCTCTATTCACCTGGTCCCCACTACCGCCTCTTGGTGATAACTCGCAAAACAAGAGTGTCTCTTCCTGGCTTTGCCACCAGCCTCTGTGACCTCAGCCCAGTAGCTTAACCTCTCTGAACTTCCCAGATCTCAGAATGGCCCCTACCCTCCCCACCGGGGGGGGAGGGGAACATGCTCCCCACTCAGGTCGCTGATGCCCACCCCTGTGCCCACAGATTCCACGTACATTGAGGACGTGGAAGCCGTGCAGAAGCTTCAGGACCTGCTGCATGAGGCGCTGCAGGACTACGAGCTGAGCCACCGCCATGAGGAGCCACGGAGGACGGGCAAGCTGCTGCTGACATTGCCCCTGCTGCGGCAGACAGCCACCAAGGCCGTGCAGCACTTCTACAGCATCAAGATGCAGGGCAAGGTCCCCATGCACAAACTCTTCCTGGAGATGCTGGAGGCCAAGATCTGAGGGCCTGGCTCATGGACCTCCGCCCGCCCTCCGCCAGCCCCGTGAATGACCAGCGCGGAGACTGCCACAGCCACCAGTCTCCACCTTCGGCCCTGTCACACATCTCTGAACTGTTCTCAGAGGAGAGGGTCCCCCCTCCCACCTCCCGGCTGTGTGCACAGACTCCAGGACTGGGGTCGGGTACAGGGGGCGGGGGACGGGAAGGGGAGGGCAGGGGCGCGGGGCTTAACTCTCACAGGCTTTTTCTGGGTATGGTTTTCTTTCTCCATGGGCAACACTGTGGCCTGGACCAGGGCTGCCTCCCTTGGCAGACCTCCGGAGGCAATGCTTCATCTCCCAACTGCCAGCCCCCAGGAGACAGTCTGAGGGTTTCCTCCCTTCCTGCATCTGGGCAGGCCCCCTGGAGACCTTTGTTTGGCAAGGGGGGGTTGCCAGGAGACAGCATCACCTCCACAGATGTCCTGTGGTCTACACCTGCCATGCTGTGAATGGTTGCTTCTGTCTGTCCCCTGCCCACACTCAGCCCTCACCTGCGTGCATCCACTGGGAAAATAGTGGTTGGAACACCTGTGTTTTCTAGGCACCTGTTCTATGTGCACCCCCACCTGTCACCTCTGTACCAGCGCACCTCCCCAGCTCCTCCCTGACCTATGTCAGGACTCGTTCAGACCGTGACTGCAGTTGATCCTGGCTGGCTTAGAGAAGAGCAGCATCTCTCCCTTTTCCTTCTCCGCTCCTCTCGTGTTCTTTCTCTACTTCTTTCTTCCCCTCCCTTCTTCCAGAGCAGGTCTAGGCCAGGAGGCTGTGGGAAGCTCTGAAACCTGATCATAGCCAGGACAAGCAGAGGGAGGCCCTAGTGGCAGGTAAGCAGCAGGTAGGCCTGGCAGACAGGAAACTCAGTGGGAGTCCCACTTATCCTTTCTGAATTCCAGGGGTGTGACCCTTCCCATCCCCCCCCCCAAGGTTTATGCACCTATGCCACTGGGGGGCTTGCCTCCTGCCAACTGCAGAGATGGGTATTACTCCTGGGACACATTGTGCAGACTCAGCTCCCTGGCATGGTCCTCCTGGTGGTTTACAGAAGGATCCCCCATCCTCCTGGCTTGCCCAGGACTGTCCATTCCAACACTGAGAGTTCCTGGGAAATATGCGCAGTCTGGCACACCTGGCTGTGTCCTTGGTTGGTTGAACACTATGGGAGGAGTCTTAGGGAGGAGAGGGGTGTCAGCTACGAAGGAGAAATACCTCTTTTCCATCAGTGCAGCTCCACCTCAAAGTCCACCTGACCCAGGAGGCAAGCCAGCCCATGCCTTTCTAAGCTAGACTCTCTTCCCCAGGTGAGGTGGGTTCTGGGCTGGAGGGAAGATGGGCCAAAGCCCTGAGCGGAATCAAAGCCATTCTCTGATATGGTCCCCAGATAGAAAATATGAAGGATTCCATAAGCTGTTCAGGGCAGTGCCACATGCCCTCTGTCTGCCTTCTCCTTGCGGGGATGTCAGAGTTCACCATTCCCATCCAGGGTCTCCATTCAGCTTCTTGCCCCTGATCTGGACCACTGAGCACCAAGGAGCACAGGCTAACCACCAAGTCTGGAGTGATTTTTAAGAATCTGACCTCCTGGGGAGAGAACCCTGAAGGTGGACAGGGGCATGGCATGGTGGGAGGTGTTGTGCTGTGCGCTGAAGGGATTGGGGCAGAGAGAGGCACCTATGTTCTCTATACTGTCACTGCATGCCGTCTCCAGGGGTCACAGTGCACCACTGGGTTCAGTGTGGGTATGTGATGTGCATGTGGAGAGCGTTGCACACCACTTCTGGTGGTTGTAAGTGCACCAGTTACAGCCCCTTCTAGGAGGCAGCAGGAATTGCAACAATGTGTCTGTTGTAAGGGAAATGACATGCAATGGGAACGCCCCTGGCATGCACCTGCTGGGCCCGTTGGCCATTCAGAAGAGAGGCTCAGTGGCCAGCTGGAGGCTAAGCCCGAGGTCGGCCTTTGTCAGGAGGAGAGGGGACAGACTGTGAGATGGGGAAGGGAGAGGTTAAGAGGACCCTGCACCCTTCTTCCCACCAACAGTGGAACCCAAGTTCATACCCTGATTCTGCCTCTCATGGAAAGTCTGCAAAGAGGAAGCAGCCTTCTCTGTTGTACTCTCATGATACAGGTCACTGGACTCAACCCGAGAAATAAAACATGAAATCCAACTGTGACGCAGGTGGTCCTGGCTGGGTTTTATTTGGTCCCTGTCCTTTCTTAGCGGTCCAGCCTGGTGTTGTCAATGTGTCAGCTTGCTCGCGTCTCCCAGTTTTTGCATCCAGGAGAACTACTTCCCAGGCCACTGTTTAAGAAACAAGGGAGGGCCTCTCACAACCAGAGCCTGCACCCAGTCTGAGTTGGGGGCCCGCTCCTGTCCCATAATATCTCCTCCCCCCTGTGCAGATATGAAATGTGGCAGAGGGGATGACAGGAGAACAGGAGGTCCCAAGCCCACACCCATGGAACAGCACCAAAGAAAAGCACTATGTGGAAAGACTGTTTTATTTTCTAATAGTGATGATGTGGTTGGAATGGCATCTTCAGATGTTTTTCTTTTTTAAAGTAGCCATCCCTCACTGTAGACCCTCCCCAACCTATAGAGATCTCTGCATATATTCCCTCAACCACCCCGTGTCAACCACATGCCCTAGGAGTCTTCCACTGTGGTCCCTTGTATCTGGAATCCTGTTGGAACATCTCTTCACATGCATTTGCCCCGGCTCCCAGCTCCCCAATGAGCACCACTCAGGCTGACCAGCAAGAGGCCACAATGGAGCTGCCCTGATCTGGAATTTGCTTGGAGTCTCCCAGGCATTTTATTTTATATTTTATTTTAAAGATTTATTTGAGAGAGGAACAGAGAGAGAGGCCTTCCATACTCTGGCTCACTCCTCAAGATGGCCACAATGACCAGGGCTGGAGCGTTCAATGCCAGGAACAGGCAGCTTCATCAGGGTCTCTTGCACAGGTGACAGGGGCCCATACCAGTTGGACCGTCGTCTGCTATCCCCAGGCCATTAGCAGGATGTTAGATTGTAAGTGGAGCAGCCAGGAAACAAACCAATGCCCACAGGGGATGTCACTATCGCTGGTGGCAGCTTTTGCTTGCTATACTGCATGTCAGCCCTGCACTCGGGCATTGAATAAACATGGGCAGGAGTAGGTCACTTGTTACAAGTGTCATATGTTGGAGTGCTTGGTGTGAGTCCCAGCTAATCCACTTTCCATCCAGGTTCCTGCTGATGTGCACTCTGGGAGGCAGCAGGTGATGGCTCCAGTATGTGGGTTCCTGTCACTCAGGAGGGAGACTCCAGTGGAGTGCCTGGCTCCTGGCTTCAACCTGGCCCAACCCCAGCTGTTGTCAGTGTTGGGGAAATGAATAAATAAAAATTAAGGCTTCAAAAAAGTATGTTTAACTGCCAAACTCAGGAATGCAATTTGAGAAGCACAGTGCAGGTTTGAAGAGACCCACTGCTGCTGCTTATGAGTCATTATCATTAATGCCAGAGAGATGGGAGAGTGGAGATGCATGAACCAAGAGCAGCTCACTGCTGTGGGAGTTTAAAGAATCCAGGGACACATCCCAGAACAGTGACAGCTCAGCCCAAGTGTGTTCAGGACCAGTGATAGGCAGAAGTGGCACAAGCCAAGGATAAGGTCATGGTATCTTAGACCTGGGTCATGGCGAGGCAGGTGTTAAGAAGTTGTCCTATGCAGTATCTGTTTCAAAGGCACCAGGGTTTGCTGGTAGGTTGGGTGAGATGGAAGAGAGAAGAATCACAAGGGAGTCCCATATTTTTGCTCTCAGCATCTGGCAGCACAGTTACCATGTATTGAGATGGGACAGAGTGAAGGGACCCTTTTGCTTTGTTGGCTTTGAAGTCCCAGAAGAGACTGCTTGGTGCCAGTCTGGCGGTGCCCTGGCTGTGGCTCCTTTGCGATGGGAGTTTTGGTTTGGAGGAAGCAAGACAGCACCTTGTAGCTCTAGGGTTAAAGATGCAGGGCTCACCTGGGTAGATGAAGGTGCCTCTTAGGAACAGGTGCTTCCCTTCCTTCGGGATGCTTACTATATGCTGAGTTATCCCTGCCTTTCTATTTTGTCCATGGGTTTCCTTTATCACTCCTTTCCCTGGCCCGGGATAGGCAGAACAGCTGGGTAGCTACCCAAAGAGCAGTGGCTCAGCAGCTGGGATGCTGCTTGGGACACCCACATCCCATACAGAGGACCTGGGTTCAAATCCTAGTTCCCCTTCAATTCCATCTTGCTAATTAACCACACACCCTGGGAAGCAGGAGATTGTGGCTCAAGTGGATGGGTACTTTTCATCCCTGTGGGGTGACCTGGCTGCTGGGTTCAATCGGACTCAGCTTTGGCCATGTTTGACACTTGGGGAATGAACCGGTGGATAGATGACTGGTGTGGATCTCTCTCCCATTCAAACAATTTACAATAGAAGTGAAGTCCTGCATCTTAGCTGGGTGCAGGGCTGGGAGTCTCAAGCCATCTTTGCACACTTACGTTTCCCAGGAACTTGGCTCCCAGCTGCAGATACCCGGGGGCCAGTCCCAATCCCCAGCCCACCTGGGCAGCCCTCATAGGGGTCTCTGCCACTTGCCCCATGGAGAAGAGGGATAAACAGAAGCTCCCACAGGCAGATGGGACAGGCTTGGAGGGAGGCTCAGAGGCCAGCCCAGGGAGACCTGAGAGCAATGCAGAGTGTGTGGGTGGGACTTCCTCAGCAAGACCCCCCCACTGCGTACATGCCCCCAGAAACAGCCCCATGACACATGCGAGTCTCACAGGGTCATTCAGAGAAGCAACATCCCAGCAAAGTGCAAACCAGCCCAGAGAGACCCAAGTCCTACCTTGGTGCTGTCAGTCCCATCCAAGGGACGCTCAATTAGCAATGCCCAGTAAAACCCTGACCAGACCCTCTGTCTCCACCTCTCCTGATAACCCTGCC